TCCGTCATCCATACTGATATGTCTGCCAGACATGCAGAGATGTGATTCGCCACCTGGTTATCAGAAGGGGGAAAGGAGAAGATTAGTTGTGTGTCGTCAGCGTAGCAATGATAGGAGAGGCCATGTGAGGATATGACAGAGCCAAGTGACTTGGTGTATAGCGAGAATAGGAGAGGGCTTAGAACTGAGCCCTGGGGGACACCAGTGGTGAGAGCACGTGGTGCGGAGACAGCTTCTCGCCACGCCACTTGGTAGGAGCGACCGGTCAGGTAGGACGCAATCCAAGAGTGAGCCGCGCCGGAGATGCCCAGCTCGGAGAGGGTGGAGAGGAGGATCTGATGGTTCACAGTATCAAAGGCAGCAGACAGGTCTAGAAGGACAAGAGCAGAGGAGAGAGAGTTAGCTTTAGCAGTGCGGAGAGCCTCCGTGACACAGAGAAGAGCAGTCTCAGTTGAATGACCAGTCTTGAAACCTGACTGGTTTGGATCAAGAAGGTCATTCTGAGAGAGATAGCAAGAGAGTTGGCTAAAGACGGCACGCTCAATAGTTTTGGAGAGAAAAGAGAGAAGGGATACTGGTCTGTAGTTGTTGACATCAGAGGGATCGAGTGTTGGTTTTTTGAGAAGGGGTGCAACTCTCGCTCTCTTGAAGACGGAAGGGACATAGCCAGCGGTCAAGGATGAGTTGATCAGCGAGGTGAGGTAAGGGAGAAGGTCACCGGAGATGGTCTGGAGAAGAGAGGAGGGGATAGGGTCAAGCGGGCAGGTTGTTGGGTGGCCTGCCGTCACAAGTCGCAAGATTTTATCTGGAGAGAGAGGGGAGAAAGAAGTCAAAGTATAGGGTAGGGCAGTGTGAGCAGGACCAGCAGTGTCATTTGACTTAACAAACGAGGATCGGATGTCGTCAACCTTCTTTTCAAAATGGTTGACGAAGTCATCCACAGAGAGGGAGGATGGGGGGGGGGGGATTCAGCAGGGAGGAGAATGTGGCAAAGAGCTTCCTAGGGTTAGAGGCAGATGCTTGGAATTTAGAGTGGTAGAAAGTGGCCTTAGCAGCAGAAACAGATGAAGAAAATGTAGAGAGGAGGGAGTGAAAAAATGCCAGGTCCGCAGGGAGTCTAGTTTTCTTCCATTTCCGCTCAGCTGCCCGGAGCTCTGTTCTGTGAGCTCGCAATGAGTCATCAAGCCACGGAGCTGGAGGGGTGGACCGAGCCGGCCGGAAGGATAGGGGACATAGAGAGTCAAAGGATGCAGAAAGGGAGGAGAGGAGGGTTGAGGAGGCAGAATCAGGAGATTGGAGGGAGAAGGTTTGAGCAGAGGGAAGAGGTGATAGGATGGAAGAGGAGAGAGTAGCGGGAGAGCGAGAGCGAAGGTTGCGACGGCGCATTACCATCTTCCTAGGGTTAGAGGCAGATGCTTGGAATTTAGAGTGGTAGAAAGTGGCCTTAGCAGCAGAAACAGATGAAGAAAATGTAGGGAGGAGGGAGTGAAAAAATGCCAGGTCCGCAGGGAGTCTAGTTTTCTTCCATTTCCGCTCAGCTGCCCGGAGCTCTGTTCTGTGAGCTCGCAATGAGTCATCAAGCCACGGAGCTGGAGGGGTGGACCGAGCCGGCCGGAAGGATAGGGGACATAGAGAGTCAAAGGATGCAGAAAGGGAGGAGAGGAGGGTTGAGGAGGCAGAATCAGGAGATTGGAGGGAGAAGGTTTGAGCAGAGGGAAGAGGTGATAGGATGGAAGAGGAGAGAGTAGCGGGAGAGCGAGAGCGAAGGTTGCGACGGCGCATTACCATCTTCCTAGGGTTAGAGGCAGATGCTTGGAATTTAGAGTGGTAGAAAGTGGCCTTAGCAGCAGAAACAGATGAAGAAAATGTAGAGAGGAGGGAGTGAAAAAATGCCAGGTCCGCAGGGAGTCTAGTTTTCTTCCATTTCCGCTCAGCTGCCCGGAGCTCTGTTCTGTGAGCTCGCAATGAGTCATCAAGCCACGGAGCTGGAGGGGTGGACCGAGCCGGCCGGAAGGATAGGGGACATAGAGAGTCAAAGGATGCAGAAAGGGAGGAGAGGAGGGTTGAGGAGGCAGAATCAGGAGATTGGAGGGAGAAGGTTTGAGCAGAGGGAAGAGATGATAGGATGGAAGAGGAGAGAGTAGCGGGAGAGCGAGAGCGAAGGTTGCGACGGCGCATTACCATCTGTGTAGGGGCAGAGTGAGTAGTGTTGGAGGAGAGGGAGAGAGAAAAGGATACAAAGTAGTGGTCGGAGACTTGGAGGGGAGTTGCAGTGAGATTAGTAGAACAACAGCATCTAGTAAAGATGAGGTCAAGCGTATTGCCTGCCTTGTGAGTAGGGGGGGGCGGTGAGAGGGTGAGGTCAAAAGAGGAGAGGAGTGGAAAGAAGGAGGCAGAGAGAAATGAGTCAAATGTAGACGTAGGGAGGTTGAAATCCCCCAGAACTGTGAGGGGTGAGCCATCCTCAGGAAAGGAACTTATCAAGGCGTCAAGCTCATTGATGAACTCTCCAAGGGAACCTGGAGGGCGATAGATGACAAGGATATTAAGCTTAAATGGGCTAGTGACTGTGACAGCATGGAATTCAAATGAGGAGATAGACAGATGGGTCAGGGGAAAAATTGAGAATGTCCACTTGGGAGAGATGAGGATTCCTGTGCCACCACCCCGCTGACCAGATGCTCTCGGGGTATGCGAGAACACATGGTCAGACGAGGAGAGAGCAGCAGGAGTAGCAGTGTTTTCAGTGGTAATCCATGTTTCCGTCAGCGCCAAGAAGTCGAGGGACTGGAGGGTAGCATAGGCTGAGATGAACTCTGCCTTGTTGGCAGCAGAACGGCAGTTCCAGAGGCTGCCTGAGACCTGGAACTCCACGTGGGAGGTGCGTGCAGGGACCACCAGGTTAGAGAGGCAGCAGCCACGCGGTGTGAGGCGTTTGTGTAGCCTGTGCGGAGAGGAGAGAACAGGGATAGGCAGAGGCATAGTTGACAGGCTGCAGCAGATGGCTACAATAATGCAGAGGAGATCGGAATGAAATGAACTAAACATCTGGGAAAGGAGAGAGCGGGGCCTCCCTTACCACAACCCCCAAATATAACTCTCCCAACTTCCACCTCAGAAACTATAATTGTTGTAAACTACAGCGGTTCAATGTTTTCTAGGAATAGACTAACTTAGTTTATTCAGCTAGCTAACTAGGTGCAGTATTATTCCGTGAAAATCGTCCGGGCACCTCGTCATAAGACGCCACAGCCATCTAGCATGCCGGCCACAACAAACCACCAGTGTATCAACACGCAAGCAGATCGTTCGTGTCCGTGTCTAACGTTGTGGGTTAGTCCCGACAGCTTGAGCGAGTCCGTCGTCAACTTATTCAGCCAGTTAGTTAGCTAGAATAGTTAGCAAACTAGCTAGCCATTGCTTTCAGACAAAGAAGAACCCCTCCTTTCACGGCACGAACACACAGAGAGAGCCAAACTAACGTTAACTAGTCACCCATGTCCCCAATTCCTTGAACGACTCGGGCTATCAATATGTAAAAAAAAAAAACACAAATGTAGGTTATGACTTACCCCTAGCAGCTACTGTTAGCTAGCCAAGTGCAAAGCTAGCCACTGAATTGACTCAGCCAGTTCGCGTCTGTTCGCTCGGTCGTTCCAGCTATTGTTTACTAGTAGCTATCCAGGTAGCAACAAGCTAGCTAAATTTCAAATACAGTAGCCACTTGCTACCTAATGTTAACGGTTCAGACAATGAGGTTAGAAAACAGCTGAATGGTAGGCAATTATTGTATGTAATTATTGTAGGCAGCCAGCTGGCGTAATTACAGGCACTCTCAGGCGTGAAACAACTATACCGTTGCTAATAGCTACTCGCCAGCTAGTCCAGGTGGTGGGTTAGCTAGCTAGCTTCGTGCTACACCCAGCACAGCCGAATACAATACTAACCTACAATAATTACATACAACCACCCACGATAACTACCTACAATACCTAACTACAATCTAAATACATAGTTTAAGCCTTACTCGACAAAGCCCAAGCTATGTATAAAGCCAAGCTTACCCGACGCCAAGCTTACCCATCAGATAGATGGGATACATATAGTATGATAGAGGGGCGATGTGTCGCTCGCTCAGAAGTTTTCTCAGGTTAGATAGTCTCGGCCATTTGCTAAAGGCGTCCACATACATAGGTTTGGTTTGCTCCTAGCAGGACTTGGCTAGACAAAGCGAACGTCTGTGCTCGCATACTCTCTAAAGACATTTACTTGAAAAACGAGAAAAAAGTGCAATATTACTGTTGTTTGTCCCTCTTGAGCCACTGTAGCAAAAACAGAGCCAGAAACACTTCCTCAAAATCTGTCATTAATTTTCACGTTTCTGCCGAGGTCTCAGTAGCGCAATTTTACATCTAACTAAGATGTTTGGTGCAGTATTTCTCAAGTGAAAAAATGTGCATGAAAACTAGTCATCTCTCGTTGAATGACAACAAACACTTAATGTTCCCACTCCTCCTAGGAGTACTACTGTTTACCAATCATCAAAGAAGGGGTGTAGACATCGGCTACCAACTTCGCATACGGTAAGCTTTAGTGAATAAAAGTTGGTAGGTGCACAGTGCACTGTTCGGATACTGGAAGTAATTTGGACAAAAGCGCGATAGTAACCTACTTTTTAAAGTGATTTGTTTGACAATCAGATGAAAACACCATGACTGGTAATATTCATGCCACATTAAAAGGTAATACATTTTGACAATTAAATTACATGTCTTTACTATAAAACCCATAGAAAAAATGTAGGAGGTCCCGTGAAGAAAATATGCCCCCCTATGGAAATCAAACGCCCGTCCAACTGATTCGTTCTTGCACCGGCCCTGAATCCAGCCCTTAGTCAACCAGCATTGCAATGCAGATTAATATAATTAGGTTTCCCTGGTTAGTGTCTCTAAAATTGATTTAGGCAAAACAAAAGTATTTAATAATGGTATGAGGTCACCCATCTGCCAGGAAGGCTCATAGGTCCCTGGTTCTGCGGTCCTCTGTCAAACAAGACACACACACTCACTAGAACACAGCTAGCTAGATCTTTACTGATCATGACTGTGGGAGAGAGAATAGCTCACAACATACCAGCTGCAAAAATTACGGTTTCTGTTTAGATTTTTATAAGGGGCTCAATTAACCATCCAAAATGACATGAAGTGTGTGTGTGTGTGCGTGTGTCACCCACCGAGCGTACACTGTGAAGACGGGGCACAGTGGATCTGAAACAGCACGTGACTCCTTTAGTTGGGCCGGTCCTCATATTGTAGTGTTCAGGAGCAGGGCCCTCCCTCTGAACACAAACAATAACCATTTGATTCATTACTTACAGTAGGCTAACTCACACACAAAGGCAAATAAACCTGCTCAGAGGGACCAAGGTTGAATAGTTGCCTTGAAGATTATTTACTGCCATGAATCAGGTTTATACAACCGTTCAATGCCAAAACATGGTGAAGTTGGATCATTGAGGCAGTTCCAATTGTATGGCTATTTATACTTAAACCACAGCATATACAGTATATTAATTACATGAGGTTCAAAACATTTATTTCAATGGCTTCCAGCTATCCTTTTCCCTGCCCAAACATACTGTTGGCCATAAGCAGAAAATAGCCCACAGCCTCTCCTACCTTTCCTGTTCCTGGACATTTGTATGTCTTTGACCAAGCTGAGCCAGTAATCCATCCATCCCTAGCCCTCCTGATATGGTGATTCATAGTACAAAGAACAAGAGAAGAAAATAAAAGGAGCTTCTAGGAGGAGCCTTTCTCTGTCCCCGAGCTGGGAGGTTCAGACTAGCTAGCTATAGCTATCATTACGTGCCATTTGATTCCGCTGGGCAAATTCACTTCATATCCCCCACCTGCCCGTCAGCTCGCAGGGGAGCTGATCCGCGGTGGAGGTGTTAATGCAGGTGTATTTCACAGGAGATTTTAGAAAGGACACGGGGGACCGAAGCACTCTCGCCTCCCCGTGATGAGCTGTCCTGATGAGCTGTCCTGCTGATCTGCCGCTGTGTAAGGTGCCTGGCCTACTTTTTTGCTGCTGTTAGAGCGAGTGCCACATTCTCCCAGCGTGGCACAGATAACTGGCCCATGCCGCAAATGTCTGCTGAACCTTTGACCTTTCATTAATCACGGGTGTGCTGCAGCGAAGTTCCTCGCCACCTCTATTTCCATGGATACACCACGTGTACAAAGTGCAGATCCCCCAAGCTGTTATCCTCAACCACAAAACTTCAGAGGCCATGGCCAAACAATAAAGATTTTATTTGGATAATCCCAGCTAGGCTATCGAGTTAATGTCATTAAAATACAATAGATTGGAAATAAAGGCTCCAAAATTGTTTGGTTCTGAGTGCACAAACACAAAACAAATCTGGGGCACATTTTGGTCAGTACGAAGAAGAAACGAAGAAATGAAGTCAAATCAGAATAAAAAAACTATCCCCCTCTGTAGGGTTTGCAACACCGTAAGCCCTGGGGATATTTCTCTGGGAATATGTGAAAATCTATTTCACATTCTTAGCCTGCAGAGGAATCCAAGAGAAATCCTCAGTTGACTATTTGAATGAGTTTGATAGGGACTCTGGCTGAATATTCTCAGTGTAAAACATTAAGACTTGTGTGACCCTTGACCCACTGATATATGGCGAACCTGCTTCAATTCATCAACTAGACAGCTGTCTGAATGGCTGTGGCCACAAATACAATCGCCACGGGATTTGTTGAGCTCTTTAACCTTTGACAATAAACTTGGACTAGCCCTGACACACCACTAACAGTGAAAAAAGCTCCCTACTACATAATAATGACACCCTTGAGATTTCTTAACACATTTCGTTCTCTGTCAACATGAGACAGCTGCCAACACTACTCAAATATCTATCAAGTACGGATGCACTTGCTGCAGCACACACAGTGCAACCGAACTTGAATCATCAATCAACACAGTGCCGTAATATGAATCAAATGCGGTCAGAGAACAGACTCTGTTATGGGTGTCATAACCAAACCGACTGAAACACGTAGGAAATGTGTAAGGGCTTTAGTCATAGCCAGTGAAGACTAGATACTCACAGGCAGAAAGTTGGCACTCTGCACTGCCGAACGAACATCACGTGTCTGCAAGGAGAGGAGTGGTGAGAGAGGAGATTAGGTGCTGTAGAGAAGAGGGCATAGATCAGTGGAGGCTGGTGGGAGAAGCTATAGGAGGACGGGCTCATTGTAATGGCTTGAATGGAATAAATGGAATGGTATCAAACACATCACACATGAAACCACGTTTGACTCTGTTCCATGTATTCCATTCCAGCCATTACAATGAGCCCGTCCTCCTATAGCTCCTCCCACCAGCCTCCACTGGCATAAATAGAGGCCAGACCTAGGGGCCAGGGTTCTGGTCTGGAAGCACGCTTTTGACTGCACCTACAGTATTGCTTCGGTACTGCAGTTTAACTGAATCACGGCCGAGAAAGACAATTCCCATTGATGGCCCCATAGAGAACTCAAATTTGAACATTCCTAATAAGACACTTTATTCATCACCTTTGTACACAAAACATCCAAAATTATTGTCGCCAAAGCCCAAAAAAAATCCATCACTCACAGCCGAAGATATTAACATTTTATATTCATGCTCTGAGTTCATGACACCAGCTAGCTAGGGGAAGTGACAGTTGGCTTGTTTAGCTGTCCAGGTGCTCTGACAGAGTTCACACAATAGTTTTGTCTGTCCAGTGTACACTGAGCGTTAATGCGCAGGTGTAGTAATCCCAGCAAGAAAGACGGCAGCAACCACGAAATGGCGTATGCGAACGTGAGTAGATTATGTTTAAAACAAAGGTCGGCCATCTTGGAGGCAGTCTCTAGTTCTTATTATACCTCAGTGGGCCAGACCTGTTGTGTGGTGCTGGAATGGAGAGGTCAGGTTGTTGTTTGTACATGTTTTGAAGAGATGAAAGCTCACAGGAAAAAGATATCAAGGGATGATTCAAATATCAAGGAGATGAATCAGAGGCAGTCTGCTTGCAGTGATTCAGATTTAACAGTGTAAAAATTATAATGATAGATTACGCAAGTGTTTAGTTGCAGCGTATCTTTGGAACTGGTTTCTCGGTCACATTGTAGTGGCATGGTGAAAGGTCAATTCCTTGGACAAAGATGGACAATATAAACTCTCAGGTTATAATGTCAAATAAAACGGTGTTATTAGAAGATCAATTACTGCTGATAACACCCCCTTCTCCTCACCTCCCTATCTCCTCTCCCCCCACGACCCCTCCCTTTGTCACCCTCCTCTTGACATCCTCTCCCCACCTTGTCGCGGATGCCCAGGGTGTAGTTGTTTGGCCAGGGGCAGTTCTTAAAGGAGTAGGAGGCCTGGCGTTGGAGGGCCTCCTGGGTGGAGTCAGGCTCCCAGTAGCAGCAGGTCCCCCTTATGCATCTGAATCTGGGCGTCTCTCCCCGTACCCTTAAAGCCATACATCCTACAGACCGGGTTCAGGCCAGCCTCCTCAATGAAGTCCCGGATGTGGTAACTCCCAGGAATGGGCGTCTCCTGGGGGAATGACAATGAAAGGAAAAGGAGATATACAAATGAACTGTCTCTTGTTGTCAAATTGACTGGGGCCAGCAAATATATTATTGTCAAATTGACTGGTCCGTTGTTGAATTGACAACAAGAGATTTGCTGGCCCCAGTCAATTTGACAACAAGAGATGGTCCGTCCTTTGTTCACCAATTTGAAGGTTGCACCATTAGAATGCAATTTTGTGTGGGCCCCAATAATGTTTTTGGGGAAAGAATATTGTGAAACACTATCATTCCACTATTACTGTAGATATACAGTATTAAGGACATTTTCTGAAATTACAATGCAAAAATATTACAGATAGCTCCTTTAATATTACATAATTTCTACACAATTCCATCATCCTAATAGTAGAACTGTGTGAAGATGCGTGACTGAAACCAACTGTAGTTGTTTTCCCCTCACTGAAAACATCTACTTTCTTTAGCCAACTCTCTTGCTATCTCTCTCAGAATGACCTTCTTGATCCAAACCAGTCAGGTTTCAAGACTGGTCATTCAACTGAGACTGCTCTTCTCTGTGTCACAGAGGCTCTCCGCACTGCTAAAGCTAACTCTCTCTCCTCTGCTCTTGTCCTTCTAGACCTGTCTGCTGCCTTTGATACTGTGAACCATCAGATCCTCCTCTCCACCCTCTCCGAGCTGGGCATCTCCGGCGCGGCTCACTCTTGGATTGCGTCCTACCTGACCGGTCGCTCCTACCAAGTGGCGTGGCGAGAAGCTGTCTCCGCACCGCGTGCTCTCACCACTGGTGTCCCCCAGGGCTCAGTTCTAGGCCCTCTCCTATTCTCGCTATACACCAAGTCACTTGGCTCTGTCATATCCTCACATGGCCTCTCCTATCATTGCTACGCTGACGACACACAACTAATCTTCTCCTTTCCCCCTTCTGATAACCAGGTGGCGAATCGCATCTCTGCATGTCTGGCAGACATATCAGTATGGATGACGGATCACCACCTCAAGCTGAACCTCGGCAAGACTGCCCGTTCCATGATCTCGCCATCACGGTTGACAACTCCGTTGTGTCCTCCTCCCAGAGTGCGAAGAGCCTTGGCGTGACCCTGGACAACACCCTGTCGTTCTCCGCTAACATCAAGGCGGTGACCCGATCCTGTAGGTTCATGCTCTACAACATTCGGAGAGTACGACCCTGCCTTACACAGGAAGCGGCACAGGTTCTAATCCAGGCACTTGTCATCTCCCGTCTGGATTACTGCAACTCGCTGTTGGCTGGGCTCCCTGCCTGTGCCATTAAACCCCTACAACTCATCCAGAATGCCGCAGCCCGTCTGGTGTTCAACCTTCCCAAGTTCTCTCACGTCACCCCGCTCCTCCGCACACTCCACTGGCTTCCAGTTGAAGCTCGCATCTGCTACAAGACCATGGTGCTTGCCTACGGAGCTGTGAGGGGAACGGCACCTCCGTACCTTCAGGCTCTGATCAGTCCCTACACCCAAACGAGGGCACTGCGTTCATCCACCTCTGGCCTGCTGGCTTCCCTACCTCTGCGGAAGCATAGTTCCCGCTCAGCCCAGTCAAAACTGTTCGCTGCTCTGGCACCCCAATGGTGGAACAAGCTCCCTCACGAAGCCAGGAAAGCGGAGTCACTCACCACCTTCCGGAGACATTTGAAACCCCACCTCTTTAAGGAATACCTGGGATAGGATAAAGTAATCCTTCTACCCCCCCCCCCCCCCCCCCTTTACTCCAACCCACCCCCCCACAAAAAAAAAAGATAAAAAAAGAAACAAAAAAGACAAATAAATTCACAAAAAAATAAAAATAAAAATAAAAGTATTTACTTGTAAAGTGGTTATCCCACTGGCTATAAGGTGAATGCACCTATTTGTAAGTCGCTCTGGATAAGAGCGTCTGCTAAATGACGTAAATGTAAATGTAAATGTAAAGTACCCATCCACCAGCCGCCTCTGTCACACTGGTCCCCTTTCTCATTGCCCTGTAGCTGGAAGAAAGACCAAACAGAAGAACAGCTTGTTTATGGACTGTATTTTGAGGTCTATGTGACAAAATAATACAGACTTAATTTATTTCTGCATTTTAGTCACAAATACCTATAGCTAATGTATTTCTTTGCCAAGAGACTGAATCTAACTTCAGTGTATTAACAGACATAATATCGTATGACAACCAACTCCTCCTGAGGGCAAAGATGATCTCACTTCACAGCCTATTTCTGCTCTAAACAAACGTTTTATTTTTTATCACCCAATACAGTATCTATACAAAGATGGAAATAACACTGAATAGTCTCAAGCTTACCCTCTCCTCTGTCCTGCATGATGCATCATTGTGGGATATGTCACCAACTTTGGAAGTGTTTTTTTCCTATGGCCATTGTTTTCCCTGTGCTGTGTGTATGCACTTCACCGTCTGCTGTTTGTCCAACAGAGATCCAGTTCCAGCTTCTCCCTCTATCAGACTGTGACTCAACAGAGATCCAGTTACAGCTTCTCCCTCTATCAGACTGTGACTCAACAGAGATCCAGTTACAGCTTCTCCCTCTATCAGACTGTGACTCAACAGAGATCCAGTTACAGCTTCTCCCTCTATCAGACTGTGACTCAACAGAGATCCAGTTACAGCTTCTCCCTCTATCAGACTGTGACTGCTACTAGTAGCAGCTCCACCAACAATCCGTTTTTCAACAAGCTGACACTGTATGACCCAGCTAATGCTGTGTGACCCAGGTTGAAGTTTAGGATGTTATGACACAAATCAAAATTGCCATAGTCACTGTGACATTGGTTGCTTTGTGACGTCACACAGGCCTACTGCACGATCAGGTAATAATGTGTCCCAAATGTGTCATAACTGGTTTTCTAGTGGCATTATAGTGCGACAATCATCTTTATAGGCTACTTTTTGGTATCTCTGTGGGACCAGGCGCAGAATATTCTACTTCTGCCCCATTGTTAGGCTACATGGAACATATGATATGGCATATTATATTATATTATGATTCCAAGGAACCAGGAATTCATGTTTAAACTTCTTGTCAAGGGAGTCTCATGTCATGTGACACTGAGGCTGTGTTTACACAGGCAGCCCAATTCTGATCTTTTTCCACTAATTGGTCTTTTGACTAATCAGATAAGCGTTTTTTTTCAAAAACTGGGCAAAAGATCAGAATTGGGCTGCGAGTCAGAGACACAAACACATGCTAAAAAAGCCACCCACACAATCCAATGTTTAATCTGTCCCCAAAATGAAATCTGTCACGAGAGACTGATGTTTAGTGAAGTATTATTCACATCCGTACATCAGCCCCTAATCCGCCCCCCCAAGAACACTTTAAAGACATGTAGGCCTCAGACAATTATTTAATGTAAGGGATACCCAATGTAATGAATGTAGAGAGCAAGTCTTATGCAAATCTGTAAAAGGTGTAAAAAGCAAACATCTCATTAAATTCTAACTGTGCGTAATGGTAGTCACTTTCTTTTGACACTGAGGAAATAGTTTGTGCTGCTGTTTTCACAGTATACTAGCCTCAAGGTGAGAGATCTGATGAGTAACACTTACAGGCGTCATAAATGTATTTTTGTGCACATGTAAAGTACACGTTGGCCATAAGGTTAATCAAAAGTATGTTACTGCAATCCTATTACCTTGCTGCCTTTCCAAGCCCACTACTCAGTGCTGTACAGTACTTCCTGAGTGACTACTAGTAGCTAGCATGTCACTATGCAGGGTGACAGGGATAGAGGCTCAGGAAGCATGGGTGAGTTATACAATAAAGAGCTTTATTTCATCTTCAAAATAACACTTAGCATATCTGGAAAAAAAAGTCAATTTAACCTAAAAACAATGGCCACAGTTCTATTTACATCCTTGGCGTTCTGACATTACAATTACCTGCAATTCAGGCAAACTCGTGCCAAATAAGATGAGACAGTCAGCTTCTGCCTGGTACTGAGCCAACATGGTCAGACAATGCATCTATTTAGCAAAGGGTCTGGACAAGAGTGTTAATCTAATGGAGTACTATTAAAAATAGAAGCCTTTGAACCCATTGTCCTTTTATTTAAATGACAATACAAATTTGATCAGAGCTGAATGTTATGAGGCATTGGCTGATGCCCATTTTCACTTCAGGGAATTTACATGGTTACTTTAGTAAATATCTTTCATGTCTGTTTCTATGCAAAAGGAACATCTTTCGTAGATACAAAAATCAAACTCTACGATCCATTACGGCTGAGAAAAGACAACTTTCAAATCTGGGTCAATTGTAAATTTTATTGGAAAACAAAAATATACAACTTGGAATGGATTATTTGAAGCATGGCCAAAGGCCATAAAAAGAAAAGTGAGTAACATTAAAAAGCATAGTAAAATTAAAACAAAGTTGTTTTCTGGTATAGAACAGCAGATCCAAAAAGAGTTTGTACGAGTATCTAGAAGACACCCCAGTCATTTTTTGCAGTAGTGCAATGCTGAGAGATTTCATATACTTTGTCCATAGTCCATGCAGTGTTAACTCCTCTACACCGTTTCCATTCCAACATTGTTGCCAAGTGACAACCAGCTGACAGGTATCCAATGTCGCCACGCGTCTGGGGCGGAGCAGACATGACGTGAAGGTTCTAAGCTCTCGCCAATCCCCGGGGCTGCGACGGGCATCCGTTATTACAACCATGCCGTCACTCCAAAACACGATGACCGCAAAAGAAAGGGACATGGGGACTCAGAGCCTATGCAGTTTACATGCAGTTCCTTTGGACAGCAGGGAGGGCTATTAAGATTTTACAGATAAATTACAAAGAAAAAAAGGCAAGTTATTTATATAAGAAACATCTTTACAAGGCCTTCACTTCGCCGTCATCATTTGTACGAACTCTGCAAATGAGATAAAAAGCCAATGTTAGTTTGACACAATCCAAGAGAAAATTATCAAAATTGAGGAAATTTGTTTTAAATAATATTTTGTACCAACCTTCATAGTTGACCTGGCCATCTCCATCAATGTCTGCTTCTCTAATCATCTCATCAACTTCCTCATCAGTCAGCTTCTCCCCAAGGTTTGTCATCACGTGGCGCAGCTCAGCAGCACTGATGTAACCGTTCCCATCCTAGAGCAGAGCACAAGTCAGTTAGAGAGCACTGCCCTACACCCAAACACCTTCTCTGCATTCATCCTGACAAGTGTTACCTTGTCAAAGACACGAAATGCTTCTCTGATCTCCTCCTCACTGTCTGTGTCCTTCATCTTCCTCGCCATCATGGTCAGGAACTCTGGGAAGTCTATCGTTCCATTACCTGGGAGGGAGAACAAACATGTTTAGGACATCTCTTTAGTGACTGTGTGCGCACACGTCTAGTCATGACAGGAAGTTGTGCCAAAGCTGGCCTCACCATCAGCGTCCACCTCGTTGATCATGTCCTGCAGTTCAGCCTCTGTGGGGTTTTGGCCCAGAGAGCGCATGACAGTGCCCAGCTCTTTGGTGGTGATGGTGCCGTCGCCATCCTTGTCAAAGAGCGAGAAAGCCTCTTTGAACTCTGCAGAGAAAGATAAAAACAGAAACTGATGCCTTCCCCTTGAACTGCCAACAGGGGAAATGACACCTCAGATACAGGAAACCCACAAAGGCCAGTCTAAAAAAAGGTGTTGCACAATGAAATAACTATGGCCTGCAAAACTCTCCATCAATATACCCCACCCTGCTATAAAATTGTGCTTTCAAGACAACTGGGAACTCAGGAAAAACGAGTCAGTAATCTTCAGGTCGGAGCTCTAGAAAGGACACGAGTTTCCGACTTGGAATTCAGCAGAATGACTGACAAGCAGTCTGCCGTGATAGCTAGGGGCCTTGTTGAGCAAAGTCTGCAATCAGTCATGGCTTGCAACAGCATAGAGAAAACCACAATGTGGCCTGCAGTTGAGGCACCGTCGCTTTAAAGAGGAACTTCCTTTGTTGCAGGGGTACTGTGTAATAAATAGACCTGCCAGTGTCTGGAAACCCTTACGGGGGTCACAAAGAAAAATAACCATGACAACGCATCAATTGCCTCCACTTTACAAAAGCCCTAACAGATGGGCCAGAAAACACAGTCGAGCCTACAACTAGTGACGATGCCCTTTGAAAATCAAGGCTCCAGGATTCCAGTCTGGAAGAACGCTTTTGAATTCCCAGAGGACAGCCTCGGTATTGCAGTTTAACTGAAGTCCAGCTCAGAAAGACAATTCGCATAGAGAAATCACACTTAAATTCCTAATAAGGACACTAGTCACCTTTATGCACAAGACTCCCATTAAATTAAATAAGGCAGAGCCCCCAAGAGTTTCCGCCGCACGTTCACGAGATATTGCGGTCTGTCCAGTGCGCAGGCTTAGTCGACCCAGTAAAACCAGATCTAGAAAGATGGCAACCATGAAACGGCATATGCAGTAGATTACGTTGAAAACATGGGTCGGCCATCTTGGACACAGTCTAGTTCTTTTTTTAGCTCAATATCTGAAATCCTCTGTAAAAAAACATTGTCTTTCAGGGGATACTTGCCTACAATTTTCAACCCACACGATAAGATGCATGTTGTCAGCAACCACCATCTGAACTAGGCTTTACACATTGAAACGTACCGCATCAGTCAGCATTTTCTGAAAAATGTTAAGATAAAAAATATATATGTTTTAGATTTGTTTGTGTCCCAGTCACCTGTTGATATTGTCCCAACATATTTTGCATGTCAAGTTCTCCAGAAGGAAAGTGTCACTTTCTACATCATGATGCAAAACACATCGTGGCAAGTGACAGTGCTTTTTGAAAAATCATACATCTTGAAAACATGTTGGGACTAACAGTAGACTAATGAAAGAAAATACCACCAAAAAAAAAAATAGTCAAATCAACTAGTATTAACTGACTACTGTCCTGGGAGGGGGAACCACCTCAGAAGACCACAGATCATGAACTTTCCAACATCTCCATACTGGCAAAGTTTTTTTTTTTTTTTGAAAAAAGGTTTTGCATACACTGATTCATGTTCAGACTCAAGATTCCAACTGAACATAGTCTCACTCTGCTTGCCAGCCTTCCTGCAATGAACTAGCTAGCAGCATTCCATCCAACAAGGACAGGACACACCCAGGTCAAAGGCTGCAACCAACACAGTCTGGCAGTTGACCAAGATGTGGGACCATAGGATCACTTTCAGATTTGATCATTTATGACATGGAAATCATATAAATGCATGTTGTGTTGCTTTCCATGAGGAAGTCTTTTAGACCTGGGGTTAGAAAGCCTGCATGCCCATTCATTATCGTTTTATGACCAGCTTGTCCCGATGCAAGCCTTAAAAGGCAAAAATATAAATCCAATGCAGAGTAGGAGGTGGGGGGGGGGGGATTCCACACAGTGTGCCACGTGCCAGGGTAGGGGACAGACGAGTGCAATGCTGTCTTACCGGCAATCTGCTCCTCTGTCAGCTGATCAGCCTGGGGGGGAAAGAAATAGGTTATTTAAAAAAAAAACAATTTGGCCCACCACTTAACACAGGTAAAGTAACTAACCGACTACTGGTGATGTCAACTGGCTTGCATTAACTTAAACGTTAGCTCTCTGAATCCATCAAACTGACCATCTACTAATAACAGTTAGCTACAGTATTTAGCTAGTGAACCTATCTTAGTAGTTCTAGGTGTAACGTTAGCGAGTCAAATTTCACATAAATACATAACGTCAGCTATACAGACAGTTAGCTTGCGAATAACACAGTACCAGAAAATCTCCAAATTTCAGGAAACTCGAGAATGCCCTGGAAACTACTAGAGACTGCCAATTTGATGGCTAGATACTAGCCAAGACAGAACAGTAACGTTAAGCTATGTAGCTAGTTAGCTGGCTAACGTTACTAGTACACGTTCTAACTTCAAGTAGTTAGCTAATGAATGTTCATCCTAGCCAACCGCAAATTGGCGGTAATCTTTGCTAGTTACCTAACATTAACTTATTCGGCTACGTACAGTAAGGTCTTGCTTATTAACGTTAGCTAGTTAACTAGTCCGCGTCAGCTGCTTTCTATGTGACGTTAACTAATGTATCAAGTTACCAACATTTTACAGTCACTAACTAGCTAGTTACTATACTAACTGTTACTGCAATATATGAGATCATGCTAAAGTATCCAACTCACGACTACAGACAGCAAAATTTCTGCGCCAGCAGGTTCGCCTATTCAGACAGCATGGCTGTCAAGCCCCAGTAACGTCAAGAAACCACTTTTGTCGATAGAAAACAGTGAAGGATGACAAATGCTGAACCATAAAGAGGGAGGGAAAAAAAGTGAATTTGGTTGACTTACCATTGCGATATAGTAGCAGCGGGTAAATTACGACGCTTAGCAAGGGGATATATATGCACCTAAAACTTGCAACCTCACCGAATGCACTAGCAGACAGTTTGACGCGCCTTTAACCGTTGTCCTTTAACTCCTCCCACATTTGCGATCCCTCCGCCAACTTCCTTTCTCGTAATTTACTAAATTAGTACAAACACACATGTATTGATATTCATTGTAAAATTCATTGTAAAATTACCGCAACTATGTTAATATTTCACCGAAACGAATTTATATGCCATATTTAAATATAAAAGTGCATTTAGGAGATGGACTAGCCAGCTGCGCATGTATACTTTCTGCTAGTCAGTGATATGCCTTGCGCGGCACAAGACGTAGTTGGATGAAATAGCTATCTCTGATTGGTGTGTTTGTACCTGCAATGCGTCACTCCCTTGGTCTTGCGTTGCCGCTGCATTGTAGTCCACACAGACATCGCATTTGAAATAAGCACAGAATTGTAGCTCTCTGTAGTGTAGGAATCATCTCGTAGATGGAATATCATATATAGTAGATGGAAATTACATGCATTCCGTTTCAGAGAGCTCAAAGTATACATAGCACAGACTCCATGATCCACTTTTCCTGGTGGGGACAGTTTTCAAAAAAGGGAGTGCCACTGCCACAGCATTCAACACCTTGTATTATATTTCTGTGCTCTCTTCAATTTTCATGTTGTGGAACATATGCCACACCAAGCCTTATTACTTTTTAAAAAAAAGTATATATATATATATATATATATATTGGCTGTTATTCTATGATGATGATCACGGAGTTGGGGGGAGGGGGGTTAATGTCATGAGCAGGGCCGGCTCTAGCATTTTGGGGACCCTAAGCGAGATTTGGTTGGCCCTCTACACATTTTGCCATGACTAACAAAATCAATGGGAGACCCGTAGTGGTCAGGACCCCTGGGCATGTGCCCTGCGTGCCTAGTCGGTATTCGGCCATGATTATTACGTTTAGATAGCTGGCTAGACTAATTTACCAATCTAAAAATTGTTAGCTGACATGGCTTATTGAGTCACTGTCAGTGACTGACATAACAAGAGAAAAATTGCTGATGCACAACCAAATTTCGAACTTGCACATTGTGTATTCTACTATTCTAACTCTCAACAGTAAATTGAGGCCCCCAAGCAACCTGGGGCCCTAAGTGACCGCTTATGTCACTTATGCAGCTTACTGGATTCTCAGGTCTAATTGAGTTGGTAGTGAGTATGGGAGTATCTGATAGCCTGATTTCTTATGCTTAGCTGCTCTCCTTTCTCCCACTGGCCACCTGTCTCTGTCTCTGTCCCACTTGAGCCACAGGGCAAGGGGAGGATGGAAATTTAGGCAGGATTTTACTCCCAGTGCAGATTATGTTAGCCTGAAAGAGATGGCACAAATGCCTAAAACTGTCACAGGAACCAGATAAACTGGGATCTGTGTGTGTGTGTTTCCGTGCCAAAATGCAGCATATATGAGGCGTGCCCCGTGTTATACAATGTTTATGTTCATGAACCAACTTTGTGTTGTAAATGTTTGTGTCTCTGTATTTAAAAACACTTGGTGTGACTGAAAGGATTTTCTGATTCTGATAATGCATTGTTTCATTTATAATGCTGCAATTATGTTATTGTAAACCAAAAATATTTGATATGTTATAAACGGCCACAATATGGGCACACCATTACATATGTATCTATTATGGTGCTTTCCATACATTTGCATAATCAGCTGGGTGGTTGATGACATGCCCTCTCATTCCCCCTGGGTCCCCTGTAGTCCCCTGTAGCTCAGTTGGTAGAGCATGGCGCTTGCAACGCCAGGGTTGTGGGTTTGTTTCCCACTGGGGGCCAGTATGAAAAATGTATGCACTCACTAACTGTAAGTCGCTCTGGTTAAGAGCGTCTGCTAAAATGACTAAAATGTCCCTGGGGACTTGTTTAGGGTCAAATAAAGGTTAATATGGATGGGCCTGATTGGAACCCTGGAGAAATTAGTTCATGGTCTATAAAACGTGAAAGCAATCTCTGTGATGTAAGTTGTGAGGGGTTCGTGGGGGGATGTGTGTACAGAGAATACAGAATATGTATGGGTTTATGTTTTGGTTTCATTACATTTACATGCACAAGTTTACTCATTGTGTGTGCATGTGTGCGAGCATGCACACGTGCACATACTGTATATCCCTATGCGCTAGCCCAGTAATCTCCCCTTTTATGTCATGTCACCTCT